GCCAAGGGGGGCTCCCCCCGGGGGGCGGTGGGGGACCCGCCGCGGCGGCAGCGGACGCTCCGAGACGGCAGGGGCCAGAGCCGGAGGCACGTCCTCAGGATGCGCCTAGGGAGGCGCGCCCGGAAGTGAGGGCATCGGCTGGGGACGGTGGGGAATGGGATAAAAAGAACCCAGGGGACGAGCAGAGGGGGGGGTAGGAGCGGTGTGAGAGGTAAGGAGGGAAGACGCCCGCGACAGGGGACTGGCCGATAACAGGCCGGCAGGGTGAACCAGACCCAGGCCGGGCCACGGAACCCGGGAACGGGCGTGTTTGGGGGCAGAACCCCCGCCTGTTACCGTCAGGAGACCCACTCCTGGCGTTAGGGTCCTGGGTCAGGGCCCGGAGAGAGGGTGGGCCCGGACCCCTCACCCCTCCAGCAGGGCGGTAATTATTGCAAAAGGGGGGGGGCAACCCTGGCCCTTGACACTATTCCTTATATTTCTGAGGCATCACTCCATTATCAGCCCTTAACAACCCAAAACATTCAGATGTGTGCACAGTGCTGGTATATATGTATTCCAGTTCTGAAACATTAAACAATTTTAAAACACAACAAAATAGCAGGAATCAAGCCCTAGCATAGACTACATAAAAGCTATACGAACAAGTATATTTACAACTTAATTTGTGTCAAACTTTTTAAAAAAATAACTTTTAAATTTAAAATTTAAATTTAACTTTTAAATTTCAAGTCAAGTTAAATTCTAAATTTAATCTACCGCCCAACTTTAACTCAAACAATTCTCCAACATTTCCAATTAAGGGTGAGAGAATATCAGAAGCAACAGGATAAAGAACATTTAGGGCCCCTAGCTACATGTTAATAGAGTAGCATGGAGTGTGAACACTACAGATGCCAAATAGTCTATTCTCTGCAAAGATGACTATGGAAAGGCAGGGAGGATCATGGTTTCAAAAGGGCAGGCTGAGGGACTAATCTATATCTGTCAACGGTCTTTGGGATGAGGTGAAGAATTCATATTCAGATGTCAGATAAACTATGTTAAGGATTGTACAAGAATATAATAAGTTTTCTTTCAGTAAGATTTAGGACAGAGCAAATTAATGTATACAGTTACCTCTATACTAAAATAACCTCTGTCTACATAGTCACCAAGGAAGAGGTATCTTGTATTAGCAGGTGATCCTCCAACTTCAAATAGCTTCATTAGATCGAAGAACTGGCCATGAATATCACCACATACTGAAACAAAAATACTGTTTAAATAAACAAGAAGTCACTTATTTATGGGGGGAAATTATATTTATAAACTAATTACAGATACATAACATTTTTTTAAAGAAAGGTTCATTTTTCTTGTCTGATAACCAAAAAAAAATGTTGATGGCTTTTATGTTAAATTTATGTTTTGTTTTTTGCTAAACAGGAGGATATGCTATATCTAGGCTAGGGATGTAAAAAATGGTGTAAAAAGTAATCATGTAACTGTTAAAAATCCTAGTGATTACATATGCTGCGGGCCCTGCAGTATAAAGCTTATACCAAAGAGTCTGTAGCGCAGCTGGCCCCACCGGAAGCAGGGCTAACAGCCGTGAGCCGGTGCATGCTGTGAGCTGGTTTAGGCGTGACAGCTCTTGTGTGCCGGCGAAAAATTTAACTGTATCTGAAACAAGGTCACTGATGTTTATTGGTTAACTGTTAAACAGTTAAACTCTTATATCCTTAACATATGCAATACACAAAAACCTGTGGGAGAACACTTTAATCTGCTTGGACACTCATTAATGGATCTCCAAGTCACCATGTTGCTTCAGGCCAATTCCACAAGCCAAATACACAGGGAAGGATTGGAACTTAACTTCATTTACAAGTTTAATTCTTATGTAAATGGTATGAATAGGGACATTGGACAGCTCCCACACTATCTTGCACATCCTAATGACTTAACAAAACAAACAAACAATGGAGGTGCTAATTGTTCTTATCAGCCTCTTGTAACTATTGGAACTATCTACTCACCTTGGGTATGTCTACACTACAGAGTTAATTCGAGTTAACTTAATTCGAAATAGTTAATTCAAATTAATGCATCTACACACAAAACCTATTTCGAAATAGCGTTTTGCTATTTCGAAGTAGCACATCCACACTGAGTGGACCCTGAACCAAAGTTAAGGCTGGCCGGAACCAGTGCCAGCAGGGCATCAGGTTAGTACTTAGTGTGTGGGGCTGCTGCCTGAGGCTTACTGAGCTCCGTGCTTAAAGAGACCCTACTCCCACCCCAGAGAGACAGTTCTCAGGGTTCCCTGCTTGCTTGTCTACCTTGATGAGGGACAGCAAATCAGTCCTATCTTGGAGCTCCCGGACTCAGGATACCACAGCACTCAGCCATATGGAGCCAGAGCTGCCCTTGGGCACACAAGTGCATCTCGGGGGTCGTTGCCATCAGCCTGGCTGCACCTGCTGCAGGCTGCTATCCGGGGTGGGGTCCATTGGGGGGCTGTCAGGATCCAGGAGGCCCTGCGGGAGAGCATTCACCCCGAGGAGCCCTCAGCACCACCCCGGTCCGCCCCACCGGGGGCTCGTGCCCCATTTCTCCCTCACGTCCTTCCACTTACACTTCCCTAGCCCCCCTTCCTGATGTCAAACAAAAGACACGTATGTTCAAAAATAGAAACTGGGTTTATTGAACAAAACCTGGGGGTGGGGGAGGAATGAACCTCTGAGGAATCTGGGAAAAGGAGGTGGGAGAGGGGAAGAGAGAGGGTGGGAGAGGAGAGGGGAAAACCTGGGAGGAGGGAACAGGAATGGGGAAGCAAGGGGAAGGGGAAGCTCAGGGTCCAGGGTCTCGCCGGACCAACTTGATTTTCATGCAAACCTGCTCCTGGGTTCGCATGTGGCCTTTGGTGGCCAGGCTGGCAGCTATCCTGCCCTAGACGGTCGCATTCCCCCATCTAGTGTGGAGATCATGGACGGTTGGGGCATCCCCCGCAAACCTGAATAAGGTCCATGATCTCCACCCTGGACCAGGAAGGAACCCGCCTTCTCCAGGTCCTAGCAGGCTCTTAGGGGCTGGCAGACTGCTCCATGGGAGGTGTGGCGGGCTGGATC